GGAGGCCTGGGCAGCTGAATTTAAGAGTCCAGGGGAAGGAAGGAGAGCAGCTGGACCTCCCGGGTCAGCAGGAAAACAGTTGTCTCATTTCCAGGCTTCAGGGAAAGAAGAGGGAGGCAAAGGTGCTATCTACAGGGGGAGTCTGAGGCTGCGGTAGCCCCAGAGGAATGAGGCATTATAAAAACAGGGCGCAGCTGCTGGTCAGGCTCTCTGACCCTGGACCTCACCCTGCTGGATAATGACTCCCCAGAACTCACTTCTCCCAAGGCCATCCATCACCACCCGGACAGTCACTCACTCGTTAGCCTGACCAGAAGCAAACACCCTGGCTGGACAGACCCTGTGGACCCATTTTCCCATCTCTAGGCGAAGGCTTGAGAAGAATCCCTGACACCTGCCGGCCTACCCCAGACTCCAGGCAGTCACAGAAACCAGGTGACAAGAGTCACGGACAAAGAATCAGGGATTCTTTGTTTGGGCTCCCTCCCTTCCCCCACCCGCTGCGCGGCCTCTGGATAGCCATTTGTTCTTCCCTGAGAAATTCCTCCTCCCTGACTTCGGGGAGTGGGTTGGCAAAGCCAGAGTGGAAAATCAGTGAAGCTAATGGTGTAGCAATGCAGAAGCCAGAGCCAAGAACACAGCCTTGGAGTGGCTGAGCTCTACCCAGTGTGGTCAAGCAGGACACGTGAGCACCCCCACATTCTCTCACACTCTGCTGAGAGCTGCTGGGTCCTCCCAGCCCTGCCCTAACCCTAACACTTGCAAACAGCCACCTCTCTGGGGAGGCAGGCATGGGACACAGTAGATCCTGAGGGAAACCTGGTAGCTTAGAGCACTGGTGGATTTCTACAGACCTAAATCCCCCGCCCTTGTTCTCAAGTGGGTCATTCCACATCACCTTTGGCTCTAAGTAATTCCACTAGCCTTCTGGAATTCCTCTTGCCATTCAGTGTGAATTAGAAGCAAACAGGTTCTTTTCACAAGAAGAAATGATGCTGGGGATGAGGTGGAGTGGGGGCACATCCTCCAAGTGTCCCAGGGCAGCTTTGGGACACTGGTCTTCAGGCCAATCAGCTGCAGCCTGCGGAATCACAGCATGTCTTATATTGGGACACCCCCTGGTATCTATCTGAGGCTCCTGCTGTAGCTCAGCTGAAATGCACACCCCTTTGGACTAAAGGCAGCTGCAGAACCCCTGTGGGGTGGGAGTGTTGCCAGGACCCTACAACTTGAGGGCTGGTTCATGGTTCTGGCACTACCCGCAGCCATGGGTACAGGTTTCTGCAGAACACAGAGACAAAGACCTGCTCTGTGGTACACACATGGCATGCCGGGGGACGTGCAGCCAGAAATGGAAACATAGAGCTTTTCCATTAAATGTAACCTCTCCCCCATTCAACCAGCCACCAGATTCCTTCAAATCTGGGTGGGTGGGAGGAGCTGTAAAACCTCAGCCCATTAAATCGCTTATGAGTTGCAGGTTTCTGTGGATGGAAGCAAGTATTTGGAGACTGCAAATCTCACACACTTTATGCCCTGTACCATGGGGTCCGGGATGTTTAACCCACCTGACTGCTGAAGTGGGGGCAGGCAGGAGTCTCCAAAGTGGCCTTGCAGGCAGTTTTGGATGAACCCACTCACGGTTCCCCTCAAGTCCTATTCTAGGAGGAAAAAACAAATGGAAACAGCCCACCTCAAGCTCAGAATGTCTTGCAAGCTGGTGCTTATCTTCTGAAAGGGGTATTCTACCCCCAGGCCTGTGATCCAGCTTCAGTCCACCCGCAAACCTCAAAGCCTGATCTGAAACAAGCTTGTACTTGGTAAGATGGCACACGAGAGAATGGGAAGGAGAGGGAGAGGGAAGGAGGGAGGTTGGTTTTCCTGGAACCCTTATTAAATCAGCTTTCCAAGGACAGCCAGAAACTCCAGGCCCTCCCCAGTCCCTTAGGAGCATTTGCAGACTGCTAGTATTGCACTCAGCTGGGGGAGGGGCTGCCAACACACACACACACATACACACACACACACACACACACACACTTACAGCACATAGCCTTTCCAATGGGGGAGAAGGTTTCAATGCAGGCAGGGTTTGGGGTAGTCTGCTTTCAGTTTAGGGACAAATCCTTTATACACAGATTATAGTGTTTTTTGAGGACAATAGCAGCATTATTTAATAATCAGTAGGGCCAAGGCTATACAATATATCTAACATTTGTAAAGTTCCTAAAGTTCACAAAGCATGAAGATACGTTTTCTCTTAACCCGTCACAGTCACAGCTGTTCTCAGCCACGACAGGGCAGTGTGCCGTACCACAGAGCTCGTAAGGGATAAAAGTGCCACACTAGGAAGGGACTTCCTTCACCAGACTTGTTCTCCAAGTCCCGCGGCTTTCCACTGTTCCGTCCTAGGCCATTCCAAGTTGCCCCAGGAGACCACATGTCCCTTACCATATGGGCTAGACTCCTGGGCCCCGGGAAAATGGACTAAGAACAGCCATTTATTACTGTGTACCAGGCTCTGTGTAAGAGCTGTGCAGACAGTCTCATTTGATCTTTACAATGACCTTATGAGCACATATTCATTAACAGAGTTTATAGAAACCTCAGAGAAAACTGTCCCAAGAGTCAACAGGGAGTAAGAAGTGGAGTCAAAGCCAGTTGAGGCGGTGCATGCTTGTAATCTTGAGAGGCTTAGGCAGGAGGATAGCAAATTTAGAGGCCAGCCTCACAACTTAGTGAGACACTGTCTAAAAAATAAAATTAAAAAGGGCTGGAAATGTAGCTCAGTGGTAGACTAGCTCTGAGCTAAATCTCCATTACTATAAAAGAAAAAAAGAAGTGCACTTGAAATCAAAATGAAGGTAGTCAAGAAAAAAACATAAAGACTTGTGCATGAATGTTCAGAACACAGTAGTTTTATTAAAAATGGCCAAAATTGTTCATAACTGCTATGATTCATGTGTTGGCAGGTTGGCTTCCTGAGTGACAATATTGAAAGGTTGAATACCTTTAAGAGGTGGGGCTTAGTGAAGGTCACTGCTTCTATAAGGGATTAAATGTAGTCCTCAAGAAACCTGTAAGTTCCCCTGAGACTTGTTAATAAAAAGAGGAAGACCAGCCCCTCCCTGGTCTCCCTATCTCACCATATGATCTCTCTTACATACAATCCCCTGGTGACCCACCCTCCATGTAGTGATACTGCGAGGTGGGCCATCACCTGAGGCTAAATATATGGGCTGCCTGATCTTAAGACTTTCAGCCTCCAAAACCATGAGGTAAACAAACTTCTTTTCTTTATAAGTATCCAATTTCAGGTCTTTTGCTATAACAACTGAAAACAGACTAATACAATGACCGAAATGGCCATCAACAGGTGAATACACACTCAGCATGTAATTTTATCATATGAAATTCTAAAACAGGAAAAATGAATCTATGGTGAAAGACAGTAGATTAGAGGTTGCCCAGGGACTGACTGAAGAGGGGCATGGTGAGGGGTGATGAAAATGTTCTATATCTTCGCTGAGGTAGTAGTTACATGGTGTACACACATTCTATAAAAACACATGGAGCCGGGTGCGGTGGCGCATGCCTATAATCTGAACAGCTCAGGAGGCTGAGGCAGGAGGGTCGCAAGTTCAAAGCCAGCCTCAGCAACAGTGAGGCGCCAAGCAACTCAGGGAGACCCTGTCTCAAAATAAAATACAAAATAGGGCTGGGGATGTGGCTCAGTGGTCAAGTGCCCTGAGTTCCATCCCAGGTACCAAAAAACAAAAACAAACCAACAAAACGCGTGGAACCATACACTTACAATCAACACATTTTATGTTACATAAATTATACCTCAATTAAGTTAACGTTTTTATAAGCTCAGTCCTGACTGCCTACAGCCTCCCAACAGTCCCCATCCCCCCTCTCTTCCTCCCTCTTTTCTCAGAGCTTGTACTTTGTCCTCATCAAGACCTTCAGATCCCTGGCTCTATCCTCCATCCCTGCCGGTTTCCTTTCCTAGATAGGATCCACCACCAGCAGCTTTAATGACCCTCCTCCTCCAGCCCCACGCCCATCTAAATCTCCGGTAGCTCATTTCCCTGCTCCACACCCTCTTCAAGTGCCTAGGCCAAAGATTTGTACAAATTCATTTTCTCTAATCTCCATTCTTGGGCTGCAAAGAGTCTTGCAGAAAGTTAAAAAAAGGAAAAAAGAAAATGCTTCAGGGTCCATCATAAAAGCACATTCTCAACCCTCATCCGTGCCCTCCTTGTTCCTGGACTCCCCTGCCTCTGTCTACACAGTGGCTGGTCACCATCTTCTCTGCTCCCGTAACCTTACTTTCATCTTGTCTTGTCTCTAGTCATCTAGAGTTGCTATTCTACCAACTTAAACCCCTAGGTTCTATTTCTGGAGGGTCTTTACTGTTTTTTCCTTCCTTTACAATCTTACAGCCCCCATCCTACTTCCCGATCTCACCCCAACTAGACAATCAAAACAACCTTCCTAACCAGTCTTTCTGTCAACAGAGGCCACAGCAGTAATAAATGCTAACACTTTCCATCTACGTGCTTTATTTGGATTATTGCATTTAATCCTTTTTTACCCTTCCCATTTTATAGATGGGCAAAACTAAGGCTTACTGGGCTCGAATTTGGCAAAGGAAGTTAACGCAGCTATCACGTGGCAGAACAAGATGAAAACAGGTCCACCTAACTAACCCCTTCCTCTCATCTGTCCAAATTCAGTGGCCAAATTAAATTTCTGAAAGCTGGAACATGTCACTAAATTTTTCAAATTTCCCCAATTTTTCAAATCTACCCATTTTAAGTATAGTTTCCTTAGCGTGGCATATGGAAGCCTTTCATATGGTAGCCAAATCTAATTTTCTAAGGTATTATTTCCCATAACTATTTAACCAAAAGGCAAACCATTCTCAATTTTATCTTATATATCCTGCCTCTGTACCCTCACTCATGCTGTTCCACACAGAAAGCCCTTTATTTCTCTCTCCCAGATGCCTACTTTTTACCCATCTCAGATGATCTGTGCTCCTCTCTTCCTCTGCATTCCCACTGCATTTTTTTAAACATTGTTTTAGTTGTAGATGGACACAATACCTTTATTTATTTTTATGTGGTGCTCAGGATCGAACCCCATGCCTCACACGTGTGAGGCAAGCACTCTACCACTCAGCCTCAACCCTAGCCCCCCCACACTGCATTTTATTATAACTCCAATGTGTAATTTAAACACAGTATACTTGGCATTTATTTCTCTGTACTTGTCTCTACCTTATGGTTAACTCCTATGGGCAGAGATAAACTCTCCCACTTTGGGTCTCTGGCATGTTCTTGCTCAGATCTTGCCTGTGGTCCTACAGAATGCCTGCTCCAGTTATTACACCTTCAGGAAGTCTCACACAACCTTCCCTGCTCCTTCCAAGCATCATGTAACTAGACATGTTCTCTCACCCATCACTCATCATTAAAACATAGCCTAGACTGATGGCCTTGTAAATACAGCCACCATATCATAAGCACCCAAGCTTTTCATCTACTGCTTGCCAACTTTCTCTATGTGACCAGTCACCAAGTCTCAAAGTCCCCCCAAATGCCCAAACATTAATTCTCACAAAATCGCTCAAAAGCTATCAGGTACGCGGCACTTGTAATCTCCCATAGGTATTTTCATAACTTGTGCAAATCCCATGATCAGGGGGCAGGTCTTCCTGTTACTAATAATCTCCCTGAATTTCCAACACACTATAGGTCTCTATGCTCCATCCTGCTTCCTAGTTCCCAGTCTCTTTGAAATCCCTCAAATAGGACATCTCCAAAGCAAACCACTCAGCAGGCTCCTAAACAGGGCCTGGGAGACACATTCAAGAAAGGCAAAATGGCAGGCAAGTCATCAGGACCACCAACCCTTATAGAAGATGTGTCTTTGGAACAAATTTTTTTTAATATATAATTTTTTAGTTGTAGACAGACACAATACCTTTATTTTATTTATTTGTTTTTATGTGGTACTGAGGATCAGCAACCGGTGCGTCACACATGCAAGGCAAATGCTCTACCAACTGAGCTACAACTCCAGCCCCTGCAACAATTTTTTATAAGTCAGAGGCTATTATCAAACTCTTACATCCTACAATGTCCCTTGCTGTACAATTAAAATGCTAAACCAAAAGTCATAGGCCACTTGGTCCCCGTCGCACCATCTAGCGGTTTTTATATATATATTTATATACCACCCAGGATAAAGACCCAGCTCTTAGGTGCCAATCAGATGTTTTTTTTTCCCTTCATCTTATCAACTCAGGATGGCTGTCACCAGACTTCACAACCAGACTTCACAACCCCAACCTCCGATGAAGTCATTTAGATTTATAACCAGGCCCAACCAGCCTAAGGATCTCAAGCATCTCTACTCTAGGAAGGAAGCCCTTAGCTCCACCTAAGAAGGAGCCTTCCTCCTTGATCACATCACCTCCAACCACATCACCTCCATGCAAGCCCAGCCTGTTCAAAGGCTCGGGGGTCTGGGCCAACCCTTCAGCCTACTGCCTTACCTTGTTCAGGCAAGGTCGGGGCTGGCCTGGCAGTGCAGAGTGTGGCTGTGACCAGCACAGCCCAGAAGAGGAGGCACTTCCAGCTCCACATCCCAGTTCTGCAGTTAGAGATTGGTGACAAGGCTCCACACCTCCATGGATACTCCACCTTGAGCCCGATTCTCCTTTTCAAGCTGACTCTGGGGAAAGAAAAAAACAAAAGGTTAAGAGGGTCTGAGAGGTGGGGAGGCACAGAGAAAAACAAAGTAAAACATGTCACATGGTCACCCTGGCCAAAACGTTGCTTGAAGCAGTAACTACTCCTTAAGGTACAAAGAAGAGAACTATGAGCTTATCCCAACATTCAATCAGAAGTTCCAGGTCTCGATAAGACTAAGGGTTGTTTTATTTATTTTACTTTATTTTGGGGGGTACCAGGGACTAAACTCAGGGACACTCAACCACTGAGCCACATCTCCAACCCTATTTGTATTTTATTTTGAAATAGGGTCTCACTGAGTTGCTTGGTGCCTTGCTTTTGCTGAGCCTGGCTTTAAATGCGCGATTCTCCTTCCTTAGCCTCTGGAGCCGCTGGGATTACAGGTATGCCACCACTTCTGGCTAAGGGTTGTTTTAATTCATGCTAAAGCTTAGTGCTCCCCAAAGGCCGCTTATGTGTTAAAGGCTTGTTCCTCAGAACGGTGCCACTAGGAGATGGTGGAACCTTCAAGAAGTGGAATGTAAGCTAGACACACAACTATTATTCCAATTACTCACAACCCCAGCTACTAGAGAGGCTGAGTCAGAAGGACTGAGAGTTCAAGCCCAGTTTGGCCAACACAGTAAGACATTCCCCTGCACCCTGAACCCAAATATTTGGGGCCTAGGGGAGGTTTTAGGTAATCATGGGTATGACCTTGAAGGGGATTATGAGAATCCAGGTCATTCCTAGCTGTAAGGTGAACCATGCTCGAAAGCAACAGACCCAACCAACCACAGACTGAAACCTCTAAAACTGTGTGCGAAATAAACGTCCTAGTGGGCTGGGGCTGGAGCTCAGTGGTAGAGCACTTGCCTAGCATGTGTGAGGCACTGGGTTTGATTCTCAGCACCACATATAAACAAATAAAAGGTCCATCAACAACTAATAAAAATATTTTTAAAAAAATAAAACAAATGTCCTATTTTTCAGTTGATTAGCTCAGGTATTTTGTTATAGTAACAGAAGGCTAACACAATTCAATTCTACAATTATATTTCGAGTGTAGACTAAGTGCTAGACTGACTGGAAAGATTACCATGAGATTCTCCAAGGTATAAGCCTCAAGACTGTTTATGCCGATAAGTGAACAGTCTCATCAATGTCCCAAACTGTTCTGTCACTTTGCTGGGGTGAGGGCTTCACAAAGTGGTGTGCAATTAATTGGAGGAGACTTAAGTATGCTGAGACTCCCCCAGTATTACATGGAACGAAGCACTCAACCACAAAGTAGCAGAACCATCTGGGGACAGTCATAAGGCCATTCACTTCTCAGCACAAAGATTTTTTGTTTTGGTACCAGGGATTGAACTCAGGGGCACTTGACCACTGAGCCACATCCCCAGTCCTATTTTGTATTTTATTTAGAGACAGGCTCTCATTGAATTGCTTAGTACTTTACAGTTGCTGAGGCTGGCTTTGAACTTGCAATCCTCCTGCCTCAGCCTCCTGAGCCACTGGGATTTCTGACACATGCCTCCTCACCTGACAGCACAAATGACCTTGAGACTTGTACCTTGGAGAACCTTACAGTGATCTTCCCAGTCAGGCTACCTCTTAGTCTGCACTCAAAACAGTTGCAGAACTGACCTATCCCTTTGGTGAAGAAGAGAGATGGATGAAATGTGGAGCACACCAAAGACTAGGAAATGGGAGCCAAGTACACAGGTAATTAGCTAGTAACTATGGGACTCAAGGAAGATGCCAGGCAAGTGCTCTGAGTTATATCCTCAATCCCCCAGAGTTCTTTCTTTTTGTTTCTAAAACTGTGTGAATCACAGGCATCTCCAGTTCTACCCACCTCCCTTACAGACACCAGAATCCTCACCACTCTTACAAAGGATTTCAGAGCACCTCAGAGGGTGGAACCATGAAGTGGATCCAGCTGTCCTTGATGCTGGAAGGTGACAGCTGATGTCTGACAGAGAATATCCAGAAGTTAGGACAGGAGTGGGAGGGAAACATCCCACCCACCGCACAGTCAAGGGCTCTTGCAAGGGCTGACTCAAAGATGGCTCATGCCTGCCCCAGTTTAATGCACACACTTGGCAGCCCTTGACCCTTCCCAGGACCGCAGTGATAAAATTTAAAACAGCTCCCTAAGGGACTGGAGTGGTAGCGAGCTTGCCTACCATGTGTGAGGCACTGGGTTCCATCCTCAGCACCACCAATAAATAAATAAATAAATGGGTAGGTAGACAGGTAGATAGATAAATAAATAAATGTATTGTGTCCGTCTGCAACTAAAAAAAAAAAAAGTTTAACAAAATAAATAAATAAATAATAAAACAGCTCCCTAGGGTCTTAAAGAAAGAATCACTGCTGAAAACATGTATCAAGTGATAAGACTTTTTGGTCACTGTTGGGCTATGTGGGGGGTGACCATCTCTCTCTTCCAGGTGGCTTTTGTCCTAAATGCTCCAGGGAGCCATCCAAGTTATTCAGAGAATCTGTTTCCCCGGAACATGCCCTAATGTGGTGCTTCAGCCCTGCCTCCCCCTGAGCCAGGCAGGGCCCCTCTCAGTGACTCAGTCCTGGCTGGCAGAAAAACCCCAAATTCTTGGCTTCGCATGTGCTCGGCCTGCAGGAATACGTATGCACTATCGCTGCTCCCTCCCAAGGCTTACTAAAATTTCATATTAAAGAAGTAAACATTTTCTTTTTTTGTACCAGGAATTGAACTCGGGGGCACTCGACCACTGAGCCACATCCTCAGACCTATTTCATATTTTATTTAGAGACAGTTATTTAGCGTCTCACTGTTGTTGAGGCTGGCTTTGAACTCACAATCCTCTGGTCTCAGCCTCCCAAGCTGCTGGGATTACAGGCGTGTTCCACCACACCTGGCCAAAAGTAAACATTTCTATTTTATTTTTCTAAATTTAGGAAAGGGACTAGAGATGGAAGGAATATTTACTGAATATTACAATATGCCAAAACTGCACTAGGTACAATTATTTGTAACTACAAAGCTTTATTTATTCCTCACCATAAATTTCAGGAGGATAAAAGGTATAATTCTCCTTTAAGCAATGGAGAAACTGAGGCTCAAAAATCACCCGTTTTCATATGGTAGAGGACAGGATGGGAGGATGCAAATAAGGGCTAGGGTGTAGCTCAGTGATACAGTGCTTTCCTGGTCCTCAAGGGCAAAAAAAAAACAGCCCTATCTGATAAAGTCTCAAAGGGATTCATACCATAAAGAAAACAAGTAGATAAGGACAAATCTGAATTAGCTCTGGAAATGAAAGGGTATTTATTAGTCCTTTGACGGACGGAAAGACCCCTGGAAGCAGACCACAGATGGGCTGTCTAGGACAAGGATGGGGCACAACCTTGGGCCTGGCACAGAAGCAATGCTCATCTAAGGGCATCTCTGGCCCTGCCTTTCACTATATCCCAAAGATACACCTCACTGATGCAGGCTTGTCACCCAGAAAGATGCATCTAACTCAGGAAAACCAAAGTCCCTAGTAACTGCCAGCCTACTAAATGAATCTTTAGTACCCAAAAAGGGTAGATGGGAGAAGGTGGTATTATCTTGAGATGATTCAGCTTGGTTTCAATTATAGGGCTGGTTTCAGACTGTCCTCCGTGATCAGCGTACATCAAACTAATCTGACACTTTCCTTCCAACTCATTCAGCCAATACCTATACCCCTCCAGGCCTTAGGTTTCACCTCTAAAACAAGGATGCTAAGAAAACCTGGCTTCCTGGCACCAGTTCCTGAAATGAGAAAATAAGTGGGCACTCACCCCATTCCACACACCTGCAGAAAATGCAGTGATACAAACAGCTCATCCA